AATTCCATAGCTTCCAGTGCTTGCTTGCAGTAAAGAAAACATGAGACAGAGATTATTGATTTAACAAATGGATGACTTTATTAAGAGAAGGACAAGATTGTTGTTTATCTCAGTCAAACCATCCAGGAAAACAAAGCACACATACTTATACAATACTTTGGTTTGAAAATTAGTCATAACATCAATGTTAAACCTGATGTTGGAAGAAACAAATGGGACATAAGGTGTAAAATACAAATCATGAAAACACAAGCTTGCATAGATGAAGTAATGTAGATATACAAGTGGTATCCCAGGAAGGCCTGAGCACTGGAGTGCCTTGATGATGTTGACCACCTCAACCTTCCAAGACACAGGAAAGGAACCAGCACCATGTTTCTCAACTTCCTCAGTGAGGTTATGAGCAGGAACAATTTGTGCTGTATGAAAGTGAATTGAAATAGACTGTTTCCATCAGCCTAGTTCAGGGGGGCACATACATACCCACCAGTACCCACCACAGGTCACCTTAAGGCATCCACAAAGTGTCCTTCACAGTTTCTCTAGATAGGCATGTGTTTTGAGTTGGTCTTTGTTTTCTGTCCTTAGACAGGTAACTCTATTTTACCAAGGCTCTGTTCAGCTTTGTTAACAGCTATTTCAAACCTGCTTTTGTCTCAGGCTTGCCTATCAACTGATGAGCACTTGAGATAACATTGAATTTGTTTCATAAATATACCCACACTCTGAATATCAAAAGGGCTCTGAAAAAAATCTTAAGTGCCTCATGCTATGTAGTCTCTCTCAAGAAATGACCTTTCCAAATTATAAGACAAATGACAGTATCTCCTCAAATTTCCTGAGCAACCTGATTTATGAGCAGTCTCTTGTTCTTTTTAGTTCAGTACCTTTTCAAAATATATATTGGGCCAGGATGAATTCTTAGGAGAAACCCCATATTACAGAGAATTCTCATTTTGGAACATTATTTTTATATGTTATTTCCCCACCGAACCATCTTATTATTTACAGTGTTTCATGATATGAATACTGGTTGTCTAGATGAGGCAGATGAGAAATATAGCTACTTCTGAGAAAGGGCATTTGGTTTTCAGTTTACTGCAAAGGCTAAAGTTAAAGCCTATGGGAATTTCAGAAACCAATTCAATCAGAAGTACAAAACTTCTGATAACTAAAACTCTCTAACCAAATTTAAGAGTTAGAAAATATTTTAGCAATTATGGTCTGAAATTAACTGCAACAAAAATGTGGCCTATCATAGCATAGTCTCTCAACTATCTTCTCATCACTGTTCTCAATCCCCACCTGCTCTTTTTTTTTTTTTAAAGAAATATTACTCAAACCCTGTCTTTCAATTCTTTTATTCTTTATATTTGAACCTCAGCATGGAATAACAGGCACTTGGTGAAGGTGTTCCACCTCCCACTGTCTTCACAAGGTCACAGTGAGGAGGTCAAGTGTTTGGCAAGGCCACACTTGTGGGAAACCAAAACCATGAGACCCTTTTTTATGTAATTGGGACTGTTTATTTTATATTCAACCTAACAGAAGACATGAGTATACTTTAAATTCTAGATGGTCAAGAATATAGCAGGTGGTTCATGACTTAAAGGTTGTTTTACTATCTCTCAGGACATTGAGGACAAAACAAAAAAATATCAACAATCATTCTGGGAAATGTTACAGGAACTCTAGGCACCACAATTGATTATATCAACTAAGAATCCAAGTTCATGTCTTCCGTCTCTCAAGTCTAAGCAGATAGTTATCATGCCTATCGCACGAAGCCCACCATATGTAGCCTATTTAATTAAAGATAGGTTATAGTATTCATTCAGGGGAGAAAAGGTTAGTAAAAATATATTTTCCTTCTAATAGACCCTCCTTTACTTTACATAAGGATTTATGATAAGCATACAGAGCCTGCCCTTTAGTTAAAGATTAGTAAGGAACTGCTGTACTTTGACTAAGGAAAAAGGAAACTCTCTGAGAAAGCAGCTCAACCAGTTTTATGAGAATAAATGTAGACATTTTTAGATGCTTTTAGAATATATTATAAGATTTTTATAAAGGGACTTTTAGATGGGATCTTATGTACAGGTGTGTTTTAAACTTAAAGATTACTGATTGATTAGGAGACAGAGTCTGGTTACATAGTTTGGCTTCTGTTAAATAAGGAAATGTCAAATCCTGGAAATTGTAAATTGATGATACATTTTATTAATAATTCTGTACCCATAATGATAAGAAAAAAATAGAATAAAAGGAGACAGAGAGAAAGCAGCTGACAGCTCTCTCTCTGGAGATTGCTCCAATGAAACGACTCCTTGTCTCATCCCTTGTGCAGACGCCACTCATCCTTCAGGACCCCCTGGACCCCGCTGGGGCAGGACCCTGGCAGGCACTAAGTTGTACAATTAATCCTGCTCTGATCTGAAAGCTGAAATCACTATGCTATGAAAAGTTATTTAAAGAGAGAAAAATTATTTTCTACTTTGCTGAGAATACACAAAAGCATATTAATCCTATCAGGAATATGTTAGTAGGAAGTATTCATATGGGAAAGAGAATGGCTTTTAGGCTAGAAATTTCCACAAGTTAACATGATTACTTACATGATTGTGTTAGTTTATGGTATCAAGTAGAAACTGTAGAAACCACTCCATTGTCAATTCTCATAATTCTTATCATAGTGAAAGGTCTCCTGGTTAATTTTCTTCAGATCAGAAAATCTCCATTTCTAGTAAATGTCTACTCTGTTTTTTATTTGTTTTTTTGTTTGTTTGTTTGTTTTTTGTTTTGGTTGGTGTTTATGGTAAGCATTTCAGTACACAAAAGTAATGGTAAAATTCTTACAAACAACCTGAATGTTTTCATAGCACAACAGAACTTTTGGAAGTATCTTCTACACAGTTACCACAAAATAGGAGGACAGTAAACTCTCAATTATTCAGAAAGTGATTATCAGGTTTGAAGGATCTGGTCAGGAATCTCTCTCCCTCCTTTTATGTTTTTGGTCATGTCTCTGCTATTTTAGTGGACTGAATTCAGTGTCACATCAGCCACAGCACAGTGGGAAAGAAGGTCCAAAGTCTCAATGACAAGGATGCTTAGAGATCAACTATGAATTTTGTATCTCAATGAACAGTTGACCACTAATCACATACAGAAGTACACTGAGCTCAGTCAGAGTCAAACTAATTTAAGGCAATACTGCTCCTCATAGACATTGCTGACATGAAGTGCAGGATACATCAGAAAAGCAACTCTGTAGTATAAAATTTTACCAATTTACTCCTACCTTCTTAACTTTTCTAGAATAAATTTTAGCCATTTCTGATGACACTTGTTATATGCTAAGAGCAACAACAGCCTCTGGGTTCATCCCTTTAATAGTGTTACATATCATCATGGATAAAAAAAGATTCTTCCACCAAGAATTTGGATGACATTGTACGCCATGCAGCATTAATAGGATAGTCTATAGTTTCCTTCTCTGCCCATATTACCTACCATGGGCTAAGAAGGAAAATGTACTCTATCAACAGTAAGAAAAGCAAGTATGGCTTTAAGACGCACAGGCACCAACAGATATGAGAGAAAATGGAACTGTTTTAGAGTCACTTCTCTGACTATGAGCAGTAAGTAAGGGACGTAGTATGTACTTTAAAAATCTTTTCATTTTTTTCTGAAAGATTTGATTTTTTATGAATACTTCTAAAAATCCTATGCTATCAGAATATGGCACACTATATACAGTGAAATCTATATGAACAGTGTACTCTTTCAATATTAATACTCCTTACACAAATGGTATCCCCCTCAAAAGGGAAAAAGCCTTTGACTTCACTTTATTCTGTTCTCAGTCCTAGCTATTTATAAGAGGAGTCTCACTCCTTTATTAGGCTCTAAATCTTAACCAATAATCATAATTATGTTCTAAAACAATCATCACTGAGTAATCAATCTTCTTGATATTTCCCAAAGTAACTATTATATTAAAGGCAACAAATTAAACAAAAATCAAGGCCCTAAAATGTTAACCACTCATGTGGTAAACTGAATGCACCATATAATAGTAGGTATTCCTGATTTGGCACAAGACAAATTTAGAAAATATTTGATAAAGAAAAATAATTATCAGTTTAAAGATACTTATTTTTATACTAACACATTCTGACTGAGAGAAAGGGATGGAGAGCTGTCAACAAATTTTAATTAATGCATTACCTAGTTCTTTCTCCAGCCACATCAAACAAGAGGGAAACAGGTTGGGTTCAGAATTTTCTAGAATGGTTCAATAGAACATAAGGCCAAGGTCATGAATTTTAGCATATGTTCAACTAGAACCAAGGAGCTCATACCATTCATACCATTCTGAAAAGATTTTACTCCTGAAAGCATTTATACATATCTTTCTTTTCTAATTTAGATGTTTGTCTATAATATATATATATAGCTGTGGGGAGTTGCAGTTCAATTAGTATGCCACCAGGTATTGTGAAGTTATTTAAGAAATAGTAATTCAGCAGTATGTAAAAATCACTTTCTAAAAATTTCAATGTTCTTTTACAGCAGGTAAAACAACTATCTAGCCTCCCAACAAAATAATTATGTCTAACAGTGGCTTGGACACTGGAGTCAATTTTTTTTTTTTTTTTTAAGTCAGAGCATTTAATGTGACCATTATCTAACTCCTCTACCAGGTAACAATTTGCAAAAAGGTAGGGAATGACAGTGAAATATAAGGCTCCATAACATATTGTATTCATTCAGCAATATTGGGGTTAATGGGATCTGGCTTCCAGAGAACAGAAATCTAGAAACAAAGGTTTTCCCAAGATCGGAAGTATTCATTTACATCACAACATTAAATCATAATACATTGGGGCCTAAAAATTAAATTGCATGTGTTCCAGTGGCAAGAACATAAAAAAAAAAAGTGTAAAATGCTTACATATTTATATAAAAATGACAACGTAAAAAGAGAACACAATGAGTAATGTCTGGCAGTTCATTAACAGACAGTTGTTAATTGCCTCTATAATCTCAAAGATAATCATTACATTATTTGAATGAGAAAGAATGAGGATATAATTGGGAGAATTAGATTTCTATCTCCTTATTCACTGGTAAATAATTACAGAAACTCTTAAAAATTGTTTGCTTTACAAAAAAATAAAATAAAGACAAAATATTTCAAAGACTAATCTTTAAAAAACCTAAAAAACAAAGTAACAAATTTTCAATACTGATGAATTGGCTGTCACAAAGGCTATATCGCATTTGCTCACTAAGATAGCTAAAACAAACAGCATTTTGGTTAAGTGTTAAATGGTCTGACATTTTTTTGACTAAAGTACGTTCAGTTAACATTTTACAATAATAAATATGAATGAATGACATACATGAGAAACAGAAGAAATGTAGAATTTTTAAAGCGAAATTGATCATTATATGAGATAGAAAAATAAACATTTATAAAATTAAAATATGGCAAATGATGTTGCCCATTTGCCTAAGTTGATATCAAATAAAAATACAATTGCTGTTTTTCTTTAAAGTTACCATTAAAATATTTTAAACACGAAGCAAAACCACAGGGCAGAAAAAGAAAAAATATAGCATTATTTTAAGTCAACAAGGCTAATCTGGATATTGAAACCACTATGGAATTTGACTTAAGGCTAGACTTCCATTTTCTCTCCCCTTCTCTACATGAAGATTTTTCTATATTCACTTTACTTCACCATATTCAAAATCCTGTTATCTTCCCTTTCCTCCATTTCTCTAAAATGACTACATCCCTTAAGGTTTTTTTTTTCTTCTTTCCAGGTTACCATTTGCCTAAAACTTAAATTTCAGGTATGTTATACTCAAGTTCCTATAATATGAAAACTTTATGAAAGTAATTATCTTTCTCAAAATGAGATATTCAAATGTACTGAGAATCTGCTCTAAATAGCTTCCTGATACTGCCCAACTTTAAAGACCATCTGAAAAGATAAGGCAAAAAGAAGGTAGTTCCCACTAGGGTGATTAACAACTTCTTCTTTAGTCACCTATATATTTCATTCCTAAAGAAACACTATTGAAATGCAAAAATGTCAGATTACATACAATAAAAAAGAAAAGCAAGTCAAGTAATGGAAATTATTGTATATAAATATATAGATTGATTGCCACGTATGTTAACTAAGTATTATGGGCAAATAAACATATTTTATGAATCAGCTACTAGACAAAGACACTGAATATCTTGAAGAGGGGCCTAAAGATCTTCTACAAAGTAATACAAGGCCCACTAATGCTCATTTATAAATATGAAGAGTCAAACTCTTGGATTTAAAAAAACACTATCAAATTCAACATCATGTTGAATTAATGTAATTATTGACAGGTGCACAAAACGTTACTGAGACATTGCCAACAAATACTGCTGTCTTTTAAACAAGAAAGAGAACCTTCGATCTACAGCCAGAGATATTGACATCACTTATGCAATCAACTTCCAATTTAATTTCCCTTGGCTCTACAAGTGAATGTAAAACAAGGACAGGATATAAAGGTTTTCACTTTCAGCTGACTACACAACCCAAGTTAAAGTTTCAGAGAATTAAGTTTTTGTAAATAAAGGGTCCACTGCCCAGGGGCTTCAGAAAGCCTTGCTACTAAGAAAACATCCGCACAGTGTTAAAAAATGGTGTCTAGGCCAGTTTTCCCAAGAGGGCCTAAAAGGGTACAAAAAACCTCTCTGTATGGTCCATGTATTCAGAATAACATTTTTCAAATTCTCCAGATGTCTCTCTTTTAAATACTTTGTAATTATAACTTTTTTATTTTCCCAAAGAAAATAAAAAGCAAAGGCCCTGTCCTTCAAAAACATCACACACTAATGCACCAAAAAGCTGCTTCTTATACTCTTATTTTGCCTTGCATCCAAATGTCACTTTTCACTCTGATTATTTATCTCCATATAATTCTAACTGCTAACTAAAGCTTCATCCCTAGATAACCAATACTCCATACATACCAAACAAAATGGCATCTAATAATTCCCTTAAATACTATATCTCAGGAAGTATATCCAGCACAAAGGTGGCTAATATTCAGAAGCTGCATTTTCTTATACTGCCCAAGTGATGGAAAATAACCAAAACATTTGAAATGAATTGAAATCATTTATAGTCCAAAAAACACTTGAGAAAAAAATCCCAGGAATGCAAACAGGCAGAAAATAATAAATGTGGGATGAATTCTGTATTATCCAGTAATATTTGCTACAGTGAGTCCATTTTCAAGGCAAATTCCTAGGTGTTTTTTTTTTATTTTTTTTTTATTTTTTTTACTGCTTGTAATGGAAACCTGGGGAGGGAAAAAGAAACAAAATTAAGGGAAAAAATCTCTGAAACTCATTTTTTTCTCCTTGCCCAAGCAAGATAATTTATCTTTATTTCAAGAGGATCCTCTTTGCTTTGCTCTTGATTATAAAATATTCATATCCAGAGAGTTATTGTGTTATTTTAACATTATGCACAAAATATATGTCAAAGACAATGAGGCACCCCCCAAGTGATGCATGCATAATTTGAAAAAGAGAAATATGAACAACTTTCAGTTAAATCAAGGATGATAAAAATGCCACCAATTGATGAAAACTGTGATGAGGGTGTTGTTTTGATAAAGACATTTATAATATCCAATATCTTTTAAATGTATTTTGTCTTACTCTCAAAATTGGATGAATATCAGAATGGGGGAAAGGAAGCTTTTAAAAATGCAAATGTCTAGCACTCTTTACCAGGACATTCTGATTTAATTAGTTCAGAAAAAACAAGAAACAAAGTCATCTGTAAAGAGATATTTTTCTTTAATGACAGTTGAAACAGTAACTTAAAAGAAATGTGGGAAGACTACAATTAACTTTGGAAAATGATAACAAAAAATATCATCTAAGAAATCTTAAAAAATTGCAATGACAAATTAATTCTGTCAATTGATAAGATTCAATGTTTAAAAAGTCCACTGAATCTGCAAACTTCTTGCATGTATTTTATTTTATATGACAACTTTGACAACTCTGAATCAAATATTTAGATTGCCTCTATTCTGCAGATAAGGAAGTTAATATATAACAAACTACCTTTTTATTATTTGAAATTACAACTACCAAAAAATTCATGTAAGTGAATGCATACCCTTAAAAGATACAATCAATTACTAAATACAACCATTTTAATGGTTTACTCCAATTTAGATGCTCTTATTTTTCTGCATTTTCTTTACCCCACCTTTTTTTGCATAAAATTTTATATGGTACATATCTATGCTTATTTAAAACCTAATTAAAACAGTCATGGGCAGAAGAGAAATAACAGTCAATACAAGTTGAGCATCTCTTATCAAAAATGCTTGGGACCAGATCTGTTTCAGATTTTAGAGGTTTTCAGATTTTGGAATACCTGTATAGACTTTATTAGCTAAGAAAATCTAGTCTAAAAATATGAAATCTAAAATGCTCCAAAAATTCAAAACTTTTTGAATACCATATCAACACTCAAAAAGTTTCACATTTTAGATTCTGGGATTACAAATGCTCTATCTATGTAGAGAAAGCAGTCCAACAAATCTTAATGTGGTCATGATAACCCTTTAGAAATCTGCTGAATGGATGAGCTTTGGAGGAAAATGCAGAGACACAGAAACATTTACACTCAATTTAAGGTGCTTGTTTTTTATGTTTTGCGTGTGTGTGTGTGTGTGTGTGTGTGTTGTAATAAAGAACAATACAATGATCTACTACAGAAAGAATTTACTTTCCACTCTAGTCATCAGAAGATATAATTTGATTTTCCAATTTAACAAAAGGTTTATTAAAAAAAAAAAAAAAAGATTCAAAACCTGACCATATACACTTCTTACCTTTATGAGAGGAATCCGATTTTGAGAAATGGCGTGTGGAATTATGCTGGTTTGTAAAATGAGTATGATCCAGACCCTCGGCCTCTGTGTTTGTAGGTGGTGGTGGTCTGAAGGAAGCCAAAATTTAAAGACATATCAAAGTAATGGTTACTACAATTCTACCTCTCATTGGATTACATGGCAAACCTTTTTCTGTAGAAATGAAAAGCCAAAATGCTTTAGAAATCTCACTTTAGTTCCTGGATAGTTGCATGGCCTTATTTGACCCTACTTTGTTTTGATGCACACAATGCAGTCAAAACAAATATTTTCTCAACACCTCACCTGATATTTGTGGGGCACTGTGCTAGAAAAACAAAGATAAAAGAGAGATAACTGCTGGTATTAATAAGTGTACTTTGTCTCAATAGATTTTACCAATATAGAGTAAAAAATGAAAAAACAATGGATGATTAGAAAGTAATAAAGTTAAACAAAAAAGAAAAGAAAAGAAGGAGAGGGGAAAGGTGACAGGCAGGTTAAAAAGGGATGGAGGGAAGGAGGGAGGGAGGCAGGAAACTTCAATAAAAGTTAAAATTTCATGAGTAAAGTTCCTTTATCCACTAGGTGGAAAAGCAGATCTTAGTACATTTGCAACTTTCTATGTAATACATTTGCAAATTCTTATATAAAAGAAAACAAAAATACTAAAAAATAATTTTTTGTCATTCTAAACTTTTATTATTTTAATTACTTAATATAGATTTTTGTAAAAACTGGCATTGATGAAGATAGTGAAACAAAACCTTTCATTCATTATTTTTTTGTTTCCCAAAATTATACTCAAATTTTGTGTCAAAACATGGAACCTGATGCAGTTAAGGGTGAAAGGTTGTATTTTGTGTAATTATAAGGCGTAAGTATCCTGAGTTTGTCAAGTTGTAGTCAGTTTAGTACAGTGGGCTCTGTAATATAAAAATAAACACAAATGTGTTCAAATTCCTTACCCTATCCTTAGCATTAAAGTTCTCCCTGGGTATTTAGCATCTGGAATAAGTCAGAAATGGATGTAAACTTGTATATATACAGTTAGGACTGTGCTGTAGGTTCTATATGATTATCTCAACAAACTTTCAGGACAAATCTGCAGAGTAGGAAGCCTGCACATATTTTAGATTTAGATTAGGTTGGATGAGGTAATGATCCAAGTTCACATAGCTGTTAACAATAGCAAAGCCAGGACCTGATCAAATGGACTCTAAATCAATGCTCTGAACAGAAGTACATAGGTGTTTGCTTTTACCAACAGAGCACACAAGAGAGATCCATATCTATACACACATATGCATGTGTGAAAACGTATTTTCATAAGATGTGAATGTTTTATATTTTCATTCATGTCTATGCTTTTTTATCTATGGAGCTTAACATTATAATAACAGTTATTGAAATAACTGTTTAGACAATAAACTTCATAACAGCAAGAAACAATTCATTCTTTTGGACTACTGCTTACCCCTGTTCTGAACAATTATTAAGGTGTCCAATAAATATTTAATAAATGATTAAATGGAGATAAATATAATTCACATACATAAGAATGTACAAGGAACTAAACGAGATTTATAAAATCTTTAGAACTTTCTAAGGTAAACCTGCAAGCAAAATATCAAATAGTATTTCCAGTATAGAGTTATACAGGTAAAACAATTTGGAATTTGGGTTATAACTTTTTCCAATTACAAAGAGTTAGAAGTAATCCAGTCTACTGACTAGTTTTCTTATTTCCTTACAAAGAGAAAAACAACTTATAATGACAAAAGAAACTGGGATTTCAACCATGAATATTATAAGTACTACGTGAGAATTTGTTTCTCCTCTCTTCTATTTCTACTACTAACCCACTGAAGTAATAAACATCTTAACCTAGGAAGCTCCATGTTTTTCAAAACTTGAAATCATTGCTGTCCATATAGATAGCTAAATAAACTTTTCTACCATGACCAAAACAGGAAACTAGACTCTAACCAGAGAGCATATATATATACAAACATACACACACACATCTAAGGTATATAAACTTTCATTTTTAACTACGAAAATAAATGTTTCACAAAACTCTTGTTCATTTTTGTTTTGCCATATATATAATCTTTCAGTAAATGATATTTGAAGGCAGTGTTTCCTCTTAGGTCAAAAAAGATTTAAGTTCTACTAGCAGCCATAAGTCAGTTTTCACTAATAGCCCTTTTTAAAAATTTATTGATTCTTTTTTTAGTTATAAAGACAGTAGAATCCATTTTGATATATTTATACAAGCATGAAATATTCTCTTTCTATTTAGGACCCCATTCTTTTTAATTTTATATTTTTTGAAATTTTTTTTAGTAGTAGATGGACACAATACCTTCATTTTGTTTATTTCTTTATTTTTTTTACATGTGGTGCTAAGGATGAAACCCAGTTCTCGACACATGTGAGGCAAGCGCTCCACCACTGAGCCACAACCCCAGCACTAGGACCCCATTCTTGTGGATGTACATGATAGTGGGATACACTGTGATGCTTTCATATATGTAAACAGAAAAATTATGTCAGATTCATTCTATAATATAGGATCATTTGATTACTCTTTCAATAAGCCTAATATTTTTAGAATATCTATTTATATTTATATTCCAAAAACTTAATTTCAACAGGAGGAAGCTTTTGAAATAGCTGTCCAAGACTATTCTATCAAATCAACTATAAAGGTAGTAGTGTTCTAAAGAGGCCAAGGACTTATTATGAAATCACTCTAAAATTGATTTGAATTCATTTGACTAAAATTGTCATCATCAGCATCGGTATCATTATCATCATCCAGACATATTTACCCATAGCTGCCTTTTATATTATCTAGATATTGTGGAGTGTACTAAACTATATAATTCTAAATTGTGGTTTAAAAGATATTTGGCATGTTTTTAACCAAAAATTATGAGAGCAACAGATTCTATATAATTAAACAGACTATATTACTATTATCCTCAGAGTAATACAAACACAATATTATTTTGTTAAGGGTATTTATCTTTTGAAAACACATGAGTTTAAAAACAGAGGATGGATTTTTAAGGACACTAAATATATTCATTTGAAGAAAGCAAGTCCAGCAACTTAAGTATTGGTAATAAGTGGCAACAACTGTATATATTTTTCAACACAATAAAACTTACATTTATAATTTTAATAAATATTAATAAGCAGGACCAAAATTCAAGGTATTAATGATTCAGAATTAAATATTAGGTTTAGTGTTACTTTTTTCTTTTTTCATTTTAAGAATATTTTAACTGATAAATAAAAAATATAAAATTTGTATATATTAACAGGATGACATATTTATACATGTATATATTGTATAATGTTTAAATCAGATTAAACATATCTGTCTCCTCATTTATCATTATTTTATGGTGACAGCTTTTAATATACTTTTTTCTACCTTTTAAAAGTGTACAGTTCATTACAGTTATTTATATTCATCTTCCTGTACAATAATAGCCCACCAGAACTTCTTGCTCCTGTAACTTAGTTTTCATTGATCACCCTTTTCTCATTCCTCCCTCCCTGCTCCTTTCCCCAGTATCTTTTCATATTTAATGTTTTGTCTTCATATTCTAATTGAAATGTTGTCAAAGAAAGACAACAAAAAACAATAGAGAAAATAAGAGGTTACTTCCTCAGAGAATTAAATATTGATAACTAAAGGTGGAAAGAGTTGTATTTTTCCTATAAGTAGGACTCAAGACTGCTTGAGAGAAGTCAGTCAGGAAGTACATATGCCACAGCCAAAGCTATTTGCTCTGGAGGGATTTAGAGTTTGCAATGACTCAAGTATTTGCCTAAGATATTGAGATTCAATGCAGGAATGAGTTTCAGCATCTTTAAATGTCGTGCATACAGTAGTGTGGATGAAGACATCTAGTAAAAATTTAACACCTGAGATTTTATTTAGGAAAATGGTTAATCTCATCTCTCCATAGCTGAGGGTATAAATTCAGTGAAGACACAGATGGAATTGGTCCTTAAAAAAAGCACACCTTTCCCTATATACCCCAGTTTCTGTAAAATATCACTTATTTGACTTATGCAACCCAATTTAAGACTAGAAATTTTAAAAGTTTGAGAAGAACCCTAAAAGATTTGACAGCACCTCAAACCTGCAGTTTTCGATATCTTCTCCAAAGAATAGTCTTTTCAGGCAACTGACATCTCCTTACTCAAAATTCAATTTCCTCTCTCCCCTCTTCAGGTGTCATCTTACCTTGAAGGCCTGTCATTTTTAGACCGGTGGTGAGCTTCATCATGCTCCTTTGACTTTGGGTGTGTTGATTTAGCTGGTTTTGACTATGAACAGAAAAAGAAACAAACAAAATGTACATACACACACACACACACACAAAAAAAAAAAAAAAAAAGATCAAGCAAAGAAAGAGGTTTAAAAAACATTTAAGTTCTCCTTTAGTAATTTCAGGTTACTTACATTTAGTTGAGCAACACGAACTTATTTTATATACAGTCACTCTGAGGTTTTAAAAAATACATATACATATATATATATAAAATACATATATATGTATTATAATACATACATAACATATATACATATATAAAAATACATATATATGTATTTATATGTATGTATGTCTATGCTCACAGATATATACACACATACACACACAAAGGCAGGTCGAAGATGGTTAATGCAGCTATATAAGTGGGCAATATACAAATAAACAAACAAGGTCACCCACACAGGCATGCTTGGCTATATATTGTTAATTTAACAGCTGAATAACTATTGATATGAACTAAAGATACCCAGAGTCAACAGAATCTACATTTGGGCTCTCAAACTTCCTTCTATATACCTGGCTGATGATTTTCTAGCTAGGCAAGTAAAGCACATGCAAGTTAAGTTGCCCAAAAGAAGAACTATTACAGCACCAGATATAAATCTAGAAATCACAGAAGTCATGGTACTTGCTAGACATATGGCCATTACCCTCTGACTTTCCCAGTTTATAATCTATAATACACCTAACCTTTTCTAGTTAACAAAGAATTTGAATAACTGTGGCTTATATTATATAGCAGAAGCATTTGGGTATTCTTGATTAAAAATAAAATGTTAAAAAAAGTTTGAATTACTAAAAGGATAAGGCGGGGAGTTAACTATACATAATTAATATGGAAATAATCCTTTCATTTGATTTAAGTCTGACTCTTGGATAAGCTAGGAAGAGAAAATGATAGAGCAATATTATCAGTCTTAGTTTCTATGTCTTCTTCTGCCTCACAATCATTACCAAAAATGTGAGGCGAAACCAGAGCTCAAGAGAAAATCTGTTTGAAAGAGAATGGTGCTAAAGATCGACTGTATCATGAACACACATCCTAAGTTGCATGCTTCCAGGACTGGTGCAAACTCCCTCCCTAAAAAGTCTTTATTGTGTGTATTCTTGTACTGCTGCTCTGCTTTTATTCCATCCTACTGGGTCATGTATTTGTTAGCTATCTAATCTTTGTTTTCCTCTTTGCATTACATAAGATCATTCAGGAAAGATCTTCTTTATCTCCATGTGGGTCCAGTGTGGTGCTTTGCAAACAGTCACTGATGAGTAAAGTCTGTAAAACTGAACTTGTAACCACCACATACAATAATCAGATTACAGCAGAAAGAACTGCAGTCACTGCTTGTTTTGTCAACTATTTCCAATTAATGAAGAGAAAGAAAACAGTCCAAGCTAGTGCTAAAGAGTTCTTCCACTGTGACATATGCAATAATTTGCTAGTGATAAGTATGTATCTGTCAGTCTTCCATAGAAGTTGTGTCAATGAAAAGAGAAACAAGTACATGGTAGGGATAAAGAATAACACAAGTATAAAAGGAGAGTAGACAGAGCAGATTACCATGAAAATTCTGAAAGCATGTGAAAATACTCTATTCTCCTATATTGTAAGTATATGCAAACAAAGATCATTCGTAACCAGAAACACATGCATCTTAGGTCTTAAAATGAATAGACTAAGCTTTTTCAATCTTTGCAGTTATCTTTTTACATAATTATTTTCAAGAACTCAATGACCTTTCACAGTGAAACAACTTTTACACATTAGATTCACATATGGTAATATCCTAAATATATTTGCAGAGCCTATTCTAAAAGCGGAGTTCCCTTCCCATTTCTTATCTTATTTCTAATAAAAAAATTAAAACACACACACATACACACACACAACCACACACAACCACACCATACCTTCCACTCAGAGTCATGCTTTCTTTTGTCCAAAGACGACTTCTCCCGCTCTTTGGCTTTCTTATAAGCTTTCTTTTCTTCTGCCATTAGAAGTCGAGCAATTTCCTAAACAAGATCCAGTCAATATCATAAACTACAAAGTTGCAGGTAGATTACTGGGATATTTCCAAAAAATATTGTTAAATTCATTAACACAAGCATACCTCATCCTGGGCTACTTGAGCTGCTCGCAGGTCCACCTGGGTAGCCTTTGATGTAAAAGAAACACGAAAAAAAAAATTAAGACATTCATGTTGCCCACTTAAAAAATCTTATACAAAATACACTGGTATTTGAAACTGGTTGTGATTAACACCTCTGAAGTTGATCAGCAGTTGGTGTGCTTTCACTAGTCAGGCAGCAATTCTTTTGATCAAATCCTCCAGCAGGTTCTTAAGAGAATTGCTAGAAACTTCATAATGCCGAGATAGGGACTTGGAGATCTGTTGTCAATACTTAGTAAATGAACCTGGATGTAACACGCCCCCCTATCCACTTGGGATATGTTCCAAAACCCTCAGTAGATGCTTGAAACAGCAAATAGCACCAAACCCCATATATAGTTGTTGTTTTTTTTTTTCCTGTTCATACATACCTATGATTAAATTTAATTTAAATTTAGTCACAATAAGAAATTAACAATCATGAATATAATTATTATAATAATAATATACTGTGTATATTAAAATATACCAAAGTTGTGAATTGTTTATTTCTGAAATTTTCCATTTAACATTTTGGACTACATTTAACTATATGGGTAACTGAAATTACAGAAAGAGAACTGCAGATAAGGGGAGATATTGTACTCCCATCTTTGTTTTCCACATATCAAAAAGATTTTAAAAAAACAGATTTCAGTTTCTTAACTGATGGAAGACTATAATGCCCATTATATAATAATAATGTTTATTCAATTCACAAAAAAACCTACTGATTCACCTGAACTTTTGCCTTAAAATATGCTCACCAAAAGTTCTTCTTCTTGCAGTTTTCTGGCAATTTCAGCATCATACCATTCCTGATTCCTGTGGGGGACTCGTGGTGCAGGAGGGCAGACAGCATCTTTCACTACCCGTGGCTTTGTTCCTGGAAAAAACTCATTGCAATAAGGCAACTGTGGTTGTTTCCTGAAAAGTTGTGAAATTTAAGAAAAAGAAGTTTTTCTTGATGTATCTAGCATTGAAAATATTGCCTCCATGCCCAAATTCAGTGTGGGGTGCATCTGAAATATATTTTTCCCTAGGTATGCAAGGACAGTGCTGCTGATCATCCATTTTAATAGTTACCCGCCCCCAAACCTGACAAATAAAAACCCCCTTTCACACGGTCCCATTAACAGCAGAATATTGCACAAGAAATTACAAGTGAGGCCTTCACAAAATAGAAAGTAGAAAAAGAAAAAGTTAAGGAAAATCAAAAGAATTTCTTTTAAAAAGGACGTTACAGCATCATTAAAGAGACTAAGCTGACAAGACTAGAGGAGGTGAGAGAGACTCCTAGTTACCTCAGATGGCATATCTTACAGCAATGGGAACAGAAATAGCATCACCTGCAAATTATGTGAAAATACCTGTTAGCCAATCAATGGCCCTGCCATGGCTTCTGCTCTGATGATAAACAAACCCATTCTTCAGATCTTTACCACAGCTTTCATCCATCCTTTAATGTCATTATTAAATTTTAGGAAGACATAAGAGAAAGAACACAGAGCAGTGACCTCAGAGTTCTATTCCTCTGGGGAGAAAGCAACATAGGGGACTGGTGAGGTTTTTTTTGTTTTGTTTTGTTTTTTAACTTTTAAATGTTATCTAAGACAAGTTTTGAGAGCTATTTCAAAATTGTGACTATTTCTCTTCATACCCATTTATAACTGCAATTACTCAACAGTGTAAACTGTAGTATATTCAGAAATAATATAAATTTTGAATGCAGTGAATAAAATCAGTCACTTGGAACAACAACTTTTAGTAACTGAGGCACAGAAGGGGAAAGAAAGTTTACTCCTAATTGCCTCTCTTATACCAGCATTTGGAAACTATGGCTACATATTATAATCTCTTGGGTAGGGGTGATTTAAAGAAAATTTTTAAGGAATATTTGCCCCACTTTAGTGTAGTGTGGCCTTGGATAGGTTTAAGTCTTTCCAAATAATTCATATTTACAACTAACATTGCAACCACTAGTTTAATATATTATCAAAATGCCTTATCACACTAGATTTACTTGCTGAAAATATGGAAAGGAAGGGAGAATTTAATGAAGAGAATTTAGGTTATATTGTGAAGCCCATCTTTGTAGAGTTTTCAGCCTAGTCTTGTGATAAATTGAAAAGCTACAGACCCATATGCTTCTATTTTTACCACAGAGAAAGCAGAGTAAACCTAGTATTTTAGCTCCAGACTTACACAGACCATTTGAAATCATCCCTAGAGCTACTAAATCTTACAGGGGGCTGGAGTAGAGAGGGCTGTTCTGAACCTAAATTTCTGATTGGTTTAGGACAGCAAGAAAACAGTGGCATGCTCCCAAGAAGATAAGTAGAATGTAAACCTCCCTAAATTTAACCCTCCCTGAATTATGGTTAGCTTAGTCATATCTAGAAAAGGAGATTTCAAGTGAAATAAATTAGACAGGGAACTTCGTATTGGGTGAGGTCAGCAGAAAAGATAGGCTGCTATACCACACTCCAGGTCTCTAGAAAAATGATAGTTTAATAATCAGTCCAAAGCCTAATTGAAGGTGATACAATACAAATAGTTTCTCCAGTTTTGCTATATAGTGAAGTGATAAGTGGGATATACTGAGATTTCAAGACAGCAAACTTTCTCCACTATTATGCCTTCTACTCTACACAACAGAATTAGCTGAGAAAATGTAGTCAAATGAAAAGTCTTAATTGGTCTGACAGAATGATAACATTAGTGCTTACAGTTAAAAAGAGAATGATAACTTTAATTATTCATAAGAGTTAGAATTTGAGGTAATAACTCTCAGTCTCAAATATTTAGAGGGGAAACAGTTCATTTAAACTTTTGCCGTACCACTCGTATTTACAAGTCTCATTAGATAGAAAATCCCAGTCTAGTACACTAGATTTCTAGACTGGCAGGACTGCCTAGTCATCATAGGATTTTCTGTTCCTGATGCGATGTGATGTGAGTTTTTCTAAGTACAAGAAGAAATACCAGATACTTTAGTGGAAGGCTGTCATTACAGAAAACAGTAATGCTTAAAAAATTTTTTAAATGTAGTTAATTAAAGGAGATTAAAGGAAGAGTTGCCTTTATTTTAACAGCTTAAATAGAATCAGAAAAACTATTTTCAACTAGGTGAGCCAGATTTCCAACAGTTCCACATATTAATGTAATTGTTCCTTGTATTTCTGTTTATCATTTCTCCAGTTTGAGAACACAAGAACTTCCCAAAATGAAATACATGAAGCATCCTCTTAAATAAATTCTGATAAAATAACATTGCTTAAATTAGCACTGCTATTCAAAATACGTTTATTTCAAGCTTGAGATAAAATTAAATGATGACTGGAAGAGTCTGTGATATCATGCAAGAATATTTTATAAATAAGCCATATGACACCTGGGAAATGCCATAGTATATTTAATTAATAATTTGTAAAAGAAAGTGCAAAATATTCCATGGCCCAGAGAATTTAAAAACTAACTTCAAGGCGAAAAAAAATCAAAGCAATGATAAGCTGAAACAGATACACAGTGCAATAAAGAGGCTACTCTGAAAGGTTAGGTACGGTCATTGTCCTACAAAAAGTAAACTAGTCATATATTTAATTTAGCAATTTTATTTTGCATTCCTTTTTCAACCAAATCTATAAGTGTTGTTTTGAAAATGCTCTTAGAACTAGCTTTGTCATCTTGCTAGTTTCTTCATTATTAAATTAAATAAAACTTTTGCTTATAGTAACAACTTTAAAAATTGAGTTTTCTTCAACAGCCAGTGTAGCCAACAGTACTTAGATATTACATTTTAAAGTAATCCTCTGGCCTACTCCAGGAAGGTTGTAAAAGCAAATGCTGACAGGGCCTGCGAAGGTAAAATTTATAAGGCAAAGTAAATATCAAAGGATAGACACTAAGCAGTTTACATTGTAATCATAACACATACCTCAACACATCATTTTTTTTAAATCCTACACTAGCAATATAAAACCAAACCTTTGCCTCCACAACTGTAATACTGGAGATTGTAATTCAGCGTTTAGTTTCATGCTTTTTAAACCTATTTACAACACCCTAGAACAAAACTTGAAGCCACAAAAGCTAACCATCCCTCAGAGCACATTTATAAGGTCAGATTCATAGAATCAGAAATGAAGAAGGTAATCACCATTCATCCCCCTCACGCACCCACCTTTAGAACTCTTTCTAAATTTCGAGAAATATAACTTCTTTATAAACCTACTCCAAATAGATCCTACTCTCTTCTCTATGCCCCCATAGCTCTTTGTTCATGTTTCCCTGTTATATAATTTGGGAGTGTGTTTATATATCCATATTTTTGGCTTGACTAATAACCTTCCAAGGCTCAGATCCAAGCACAAAGGCCAAGGCAAGAATATTTTTGGTAGATTTTCAGTATGGCTTGCTAAAGTAAATTTTAATTTTTCTTATAACCAAGTCCTTTAATTAGAGACAATATAATAGGAAAAAATCAACTGAATCACCCTGAATCTGTAACCTAGAAACCAGTTCCCCAACCAAGAAGAGTGTGACTGGACAACAGGTTCTTTCTTGGTACCTCTTGCCCAGCAATCCTTCTGTCTCTGTAAAATTTCAATAAGAGCTAAAAGAAACAAAGATGATGAATATGATCAATTAAAATACAAGAGAGTAGAGTGCTATAATAGTCCTGAAGGCACATGGAAAACATCAGAGAGTCATTACTATGTCAATAATGGACTGCAGAGTTAAGCCTGAAGTGTTCTAAAACATTGACACTTACCTCTAACATTAACCTAATTTCTATACAGGCACCAAGAACTTGTGATGGCGCTTTAGAACACCAAGTGAAGAGTTAGAATTGGAGAAAGAGCACAAAATGTAGCTCAACACAATAATTTTTAAACTCTAAATTCATGAGAATTACCTTCAGGTGTAAAACATGCCCAAACTGACTCAGAAATTTGCATTTTTAGGAAACAGTCTAGCTGAATCTGACAATTTGAAAACCCTATATTAAAAGACTGCCAATTTTATATTTGATAAAGGGGCTAAAAGCATGCAATGGAGGAAGGATAGCATCTTCAACAAATGCTGCTGGGAAAACTGGAAATCCATATGCAACAAAATGAAACTGAATCCCCATGCACAAAAGTTAACTCAAAATGGATCAAGGAGCTTGATATCAAATCAAAGACTCTGCACCTGATAGAAGAAAAAGTTGGCTCCGATCTACATATTGTGGGGTCGGGCTCCAAATTTCTTAATAGGACACCCATAGCACAAGAGTTAATAACAAGAATCAACAAATGGGACTTACTTAAACTAAAAAGTTTTTTCTCAGCAAAAGAAACAATAAGAGAGGTAAATAGGGAGCCTACATCCTGGGAACAAATTTTTACTCCTCACACTTCAGATAGAGCCCTAATATCCAGAGTATACAAAGAACTCAAAAAATTAAACAATAAGATAACAAATAACCCAATCAACAAATGGGCCAAGGACCTGAACAGACACTTCTCAGAGGAGGACATACAATCAATCAACAAATACATGAAAAAAACGCTCACCATCTCTAGCAATCAGAAAAATGCAAATCAAAACCACCCTAAGATATCATCTCACTCCAGTAAAATTGGCAGCCATTATGAAGTCAAACAACAACAAGTGCTGGCGAGGATGTGGGGAAAAGGGTACACTTGTACATTGCTGGTGGGACTGCAAATTGGTGCAGCCAATTTGGAAAGCAATATGGAGATTCCTTGGAAAGCTGGGAATGGAACCACCATTTGACCCAGCTATTCCCCTTCTCGGTCTATTCCCTAAAGACCTAAAAAGAGCGTACTATAGGGACACTGCTACAACAATGTTCATAACAGCACAATTCACAATAGCTAGACTGTGGAACCAACCTAGATGCCCTTCAATAGATGAATGGATAAAAAAAAATGTGGCATTTATACACAATGGAGTATTACTCTGCACTAAAAAATGACAAAATCATGGAATTTGCAGGGAAATGGATGGCACTAGAGCAGATTATGCTAAGTGAAGCTAGCCAATTCCTTAAAAATAAATGCCAAATGTCTTCTTTGATATAAGGAGAGCAACTAAGAACAGAATAGAGAGGAAGAGCATGAGAAGAAGATCACCACTAAACAGGGACGAGAGGCAGGAGGGAAAGAGAGAGAGAAGGGAAATTGCATGGTAAACGAAGTAGACCCTCATTGTTATACAAAATTACATATAAGAGGAAGTGAGGGGAAAGGGGAAAAAAAACAAGAGAAAGAAATGTATTACAGTAGATGTGGTAGGGAGAAAAGATGGGAAGGGAGGGGAGGGGAGGGAAGGGGAGCGGAGTGGGGATAGTGGAGGATAGGAAAGGCAGCAAAATATAACATACACTAGTACGGCAGTAGGTAAAAAAGTGGATGTGTAACCGATGTGATTCTGCAATATGTGTATAGAGTAAAAATGGGAGTTCATAATCTGCTTGAATCAAATGTATGAAATATGATATGTCAAGAACTTTGTAATGTTTTGAACAATTAATAATAAAAATAAAATAAAAAATAAAAATACTGCCTACACAACTCTTCATTTTACAGATGAGAAAGGTGAGGTCTAGAAAATAAAGTATTTACAGTCCTATTGGCAGGTAATATTATTAAGGAAATATCACCAGATCTTCTGGGTTCACTAAAGTAAACGAGAAGTTCAGGAGTTTTCACTGAGTATTGAAATTTCTGTTGTATGGTCTTGGTAAATGAAGAAGTACATTTGGGATGGGTACCTCCAATTGTAACCTAGATCTGGAAAAATCTTCCAAGGAATCAGTATATTCTCATAGAAGGGGAAAAGTAACAGATATTTTCCTTCTTCCTACAGACCTAAGATTGAGTAAATACCTTTATGGACATTTGGATCCAGGATTCTTTTTAAGGACATGAGTACGAAGCAGAAAGGAATGAGATTTGCTTAACACGCTTACTAAAGACATTGGTTTGTATGTATATACATGATACCAGGACTTCCAATGGGGTGGTCCTTTATTACCTGGGTCATGGTGATGGTGCTGCTCCTCACTCTCTGAGAAGGGAGGAGTCCTGTGCCTGTGTCTCCTTTCTCTTTGCTCACCTTGCCCATGGTCCCTCCCATATACAGCTTCCTTGCAGTGAAGCCCTGCTTTCTGTGAGGACTTTGGTGAAAGTCGATCTTGGTGTTGGGACTGTTTTCCCCAATTATGAGTTCCATGGCTACCATTAGCCTTCCAGTCATCACAATGAGTGCTCAGAAACACATCACCATTGATCTTAGGAAGTGGAGGTCTTCGGAGCTTCTCCTGACTAGGCTTTTTTCTTTCATGCTGCTCCCTGGTAATTTGGGCATCATCTCTCACTTTGCCCCAGCTGGAGGAAGACAGGGATCTCTCTGGTGAACAATGTTTTTCCAACTCTTTTAAGTTCTCCAGTGGATGTCTTGGTTTCTCTTTCTTCTGCTTCACAGTCTTTCCATCATTCTGTAGTCTACAAGACCTTGAGTATCCAGAACCCAATTCCCTGGCCCTCCTTGACCTTGGCTGGTCTGAGTGGAGGTATAGGGATATGAAAAATAAAAATGCAAATTAACTTAATGAGAGTATGAACTAACTACATAGAGGAATTCAGGGCCCAAGTTTAATATTTTCAAAATGGAGAAAACTGCTTAACAAACTGAGAAGAGAGAATGAGTATTTACTAAAATGTTCCATGTATACAAAAAGGATTCTGGGTATATAATCAGAAAGGTGAAAAACTAAAATTAAGTGAAATCTGAAAGAAGAATTTGATCTTGATTAGGCAGAATTTATGGAGTACTTTCATATTTGCCAATAACAAAAAATATAGCTGTTGAACATTAAAGTGTATTGTATAAAACTGTTTTGGTACTAGTATGGGGAGAAAAGTAGGGACTCAAAAGTCTTATAAAATAGAAAAAAAATTAAGATTTGTGATTTCAGTCATAGGCTTTCAACTATTCTTAGGGGAAATGGCAATAAAATTATATCAGAATGTTGCTAGTTTCTGCTTAGTTTTGAGAAAGATCTTGATATTCCTATACCCACTTCCCTTTTGTGGCCAAAGCAAACATTCCCAGATACTTCAAAAAACAGCCCTTTATCACAGTTCAGTGTGGAAAAGGTTAAGAGGAGAATTTCAGGTGAATAAATAACCATATTTTATCTTTTAATAATTCTGTTCTCAATTTTAGTGAATCTTGGCAGAGAAAAAAAATCTTAAAAGGGGATGCCAAAATGGAATACATAAAAGTGGGTCACTTCCTAAATATATTTCCAAAAATTTTTATACAATTTATAAATAAATATATAAATCTCAAAATTTAATACAAACTTCAGAAGAGCACATGATGGGTGCTTTTGTCTCATTCAAGCACACTGAAAAAAAAAAGCAAATTAATATGCACTTTCCAAGGAATGTACTGATTTTAGTGTTTTTAAAATTTTAAATTCATTTGGGGAATAAAATAAAGAAATCCTAATTCCAAAGAAAATTGCTAATTTAGTTAAGATACATTCCCTTTTGGAATTAATCATTTGCTGAACTGCATGTAACAAAGCTATCACCATTTGATGGGGTGTAGAGAAAATAAAGAACTATGTTTTCTTAGTTTTTAGTGTGTTTTTACTGTTCGGTTGCTTTGATACTGTTAATCTGATAAAGGAATAGTGTAAAGGGGTGTCACAGCTTCCACCCAAAAATCTCAGTTTCATCTTAACATTTTCCAGAAGAAAAGGAAATCTTAAAGATAAATCTGTATTAAAACCTATAATCAAAACAATCTATACAAGTATTTAACTCTATAATTTACAGTTAAATTTATATGACATAAAAATAAAAAGTGAAATTAAATAACTACTCTATGATAAATAAAAATTCTATTCCTTTAATCAAAATATTATTTTAAGTCTATTTTATAACTGAGCAAGAATCATTTGGCTTGTGCAATAATGTGATATAACCAGCTATTAAATGACAACCACATTCAAGAAACAATGGTTTATAGTGTTGATACCAATATGCACACAAGTAACATGAATGAGTCTACTTTTAAGACCAAAGGAAACAGAAAAGGTTTGGTTTTGATATGAATTTGTGAGGCTGTGTTTTTTAAAAATTCCTGTTGAACAGTAAACCCAATAGCAGATTTATTCTAAGAACATGTGTTGAAATAATTATTACTGAGTCGTCACTATATTTTCAGAAATGACTGGAAAAAAATTTCTCTAGTTTACCTATTGTGATATCTATAAATTTGAGGGGAAAAGAGACAGAGGTGGAATATCTGTGTCAGTCCTTCAAAACCCCCCCCAGCTGAGGACTGAGAATTAGACACTTTTTGAGACTAGGTTATTTGGCAAATATAAATAACCTCCTTATTGCATACACACGCACACCCACACTTCCATGTTTATCATTCAAAATAAAATATTTTAGGTAAATGCTATATTATATACACATAACAACATATACACATAACAACATTCATGAATGTATAGAAATAGTACTTTAGAGTTCACAAGTTCTTCACCAAAATTACATTACTTGATTTTTTCAATATGCATGTGAAGGACATGTTTTTAAAATCTTATTTTACAGATCAGAAAACAAGGCTTAAAGATATTGCTGTAGAGATCTTTTTTTAAAATTACAGTTGCTCTAAAGAAGGGACAAGACTTGAATCATAGTCTTATGACTTTAAAAATAATCATACATATGAGTGTAATACAGGGTATGTAGCTTTGAAAGAAAAACATGGACTCACAAGTGAATAAAATAAACCATTTCACAAGTGACATAATTTGAAAACATTTTGGATAATTTCAAAATTTTTAGAAAATCTATATATAATCATTTTTAAAAGATTAAATTGTTAAATTTTATGTAAAACAAAAGCTGAAAGGACAACCATTTCTGTAATGTTATACTGTGATTATGCAAGTAAGGCAAAACTCAAACTAAAATCAAAAGAAGTACAATTAAGGACTATCCCAGATGTGTTGGGAAAGGATCACACTGCAAACAACAAAAAACTGCTTTATAAATATAAGCCAAATTATAATATGGTCTCTGTGGAATTCAACTTGGCCTAACTAAAGGCATATAAATGAGGATCACATGTTTACCAACATGTAATCTCTCATCACCACCACAGCTGAGGCAAGAGAAATTCTAGTATCTACACACACTTGCTCAGGTCACCACTTCCTATTCTTCAATACACACTCAACTCCCTCAAAACAGCATATATTGTGCTCCATATGTGTACAATGAGTCAAAATATATTTTGCTATCATGTATAACTAACTAGAACAAATTTTTAAAAAACAAGCAAATATGCCAATCTCTACAAATTTACAAAAATAATTAAATATATAGATTGTTTTTATAAGGTGTATTTCACGTGTCTGAGAAACCATTCAATTCTTAACACAGTCTCCTACCTAGAGAGGAATCAGAATAAGAGTAGTCTAGCCAAAACAAATAGGTCTGAATTTCAACTCAAGTTAGCATAGATGTTAAAATTACTACTTTAGACCAGTCGGGCATGTTGGCACATGCCTGTAATTCCAGCTACCTGGGAAGTGGATCCTGAGTTCCAAGCTATCCTGGGCAACATAAGTACCCTTCTCAAAAACAAAACAAACAAAAATATTTTAGTATTCTTAATTATTTGCCATCCTAATGTGTTTGGATTTAAATTTTAAAATAGTTTTATTTATAGTGAGCATGCCTCCAGAGCAGAATTAAAAATTAAAAACAAAAAAAAATACAAGATAATATTTCTGAGATTTGAATTACAGCTGAAGAATAACTTTACCTTCTGGTCTCCAGTATAGCAAATGTAGTAATAACTTTTCTTTCTTTTTAAATGATGTAATATATCATTTCATCAGAAAAAAAACTAGCATAAAAAAGATGGTTATCAAAAAAAGATCTGAGCATTTCACTTATGAAAAAGAATCAAGCAACAAACAGAATCAACCTGCTTATAAAAATAGGCCACAGAGCTGATCCTACTGATCATAGTAAACTGAGTACAAAACATGTGACTGCTTGCCCGGTGTGCAAACCTGTAATCCCAGCAGCCGGAGAGGCCGAGAAAGGAGGATCAAGAGTTCAAAACCAGCCTCAGCAATGGAAAGACACTAAACAACTCAATATATCCTTTCTCTAAATAAAATACAAAATAGGGCTAGAGATATGGCCCAGTGGTTAAGTGCCCCTGAGTTTAATCCTTGTTACCCGCACCCCCCCAAAAAAATGACTGCTCAAGATTATACTCAAACTATAATAATCATATCATCTACATATATGTTGCTTCCATTCTACTCATCAAAGACAAACACATCAAAGTTGATAACTGGTTTTGCAAGGTCCTTTTGGATCACTGACCTTAAAATTTTTACTATCTAGAAGTTGTCTTTAGGTTTTTTTTACTCATGACCCAAGGTATGGTCTTCAAGCTTATGTTCAATAGTGACTCTTGAAACCATGTGAGATGTCATTCCTTAGACAAATCTTTGAAAAGGGCTGAACTTACTTGCAAATACTCATTTCCCAACACATATTTAAGATAAAGAGTCACCACCACCACAACTACCACCACCACACCATCACCACCACCACACTGCAAAGCAAACACCAGAGAAGCAAGACTGTAATAGAACTCTATTCCCTTATACATATATTGTAATTAAAGAGCAAAGAAAGCAAAAAATATATAAATAAAAATAAACAATGCATCTCAAAATTTAGTATTGTCTGTCATCAGCAGGATAAATCACTGGCCTAGGTTTAAAAGGCGAGAAAGCATGGAGAAAAAAAAGTTTTGTTTCCCAGAAACTGATGCATGGTGTGCCTTCTTTATTCACACCATTTTGCAAATTAAAACAGCAATGTCCAGACTTCTTTGAGAAAATTTAAGTGCAAAGACTCATCCATCATTTTCAAACTCTATTTTATGTACTTAGAAGATAATACATCACTCCAAGAGACTGCAGCACGGGAGAATACATGCCAAATCTTACAAAGCCATATTCAAGTTTTAAAAGTCATAAAATGGCTCTGATTATCCAACTATGGAACAGATGAATTCATTACCTTATAAATAGAATCCCACCACAAATCTAAATGTACTCAATATCTGGGATAAGAGAAATATCCCCAGGTCCCTAAGGTCACTTTATATATAGAATCCAAAGAGTGTCTTGCAGTTATGTCTAAGAATAGAGTAGGTCATAATACAGGGATGGTTACCTCCATCTTCATAAAAGTAACTATCTCCATAAGCACTGGCTCCAGAAAACTCTGGAATGTGTTTCTTTCGCTTTTTCTCCTCTTGCAACTCCTTTTCTTGCAAAAGGCGAGCTATATCCTGCAAAGACAAGAGGGAATGAAAATAAACACTACCAGGGAATGAACTATCTCTATATAATGAAGTTCAATATCCTGCTACCAAGCTTTTATGGTCTTTGTCCATGGCTCCCACACTTCCTGGCATTAGTCTCATGCTAGCCAAATACCATAGACGATTGGATTGCTCAATGGCAGTGGCATATAATACAGATGAGTAAAACAGGATTTTATTTTCTAATTGAAAGTTAAGTCTAACCTAATTTCAAGATATTCAAACAGTACTACCTACAGCTGGTTGTACAACAGAATTTTAAAAATACACATTTGTGGGCCCTTCATCTAAGCTGACAATTCATTAAGTCTGTATGGGGAAGGTCACAGTAATCTATAAAACTTTATAAATTATAAAGGCACTGTGAGAAAGAGAGTGATGAGTAACATTCCAACTCTGCTTCTCAAAACATTACCACCCCTACATGAAAACAAAAGAACATGCAAATAACTTTAATAAAATTATAAACTATAAATGCCTCAAAAAAGTTAAATATCTATGGGAATACAAAAGATGGAATATTATTTAGAAATTAGTACAAAACTCTGCATTGTGTTAGGCTTTGAATGAAGATCTGAATTTCAACATAGAAAGGAGAGACAGAGCGAGAACATCAGCAAAGTTGTAAATGTTAAAATGGGCATCAATCTAGAAGATGACCAGCAGTCTAATCAGAACACAGGCCATGAGATATTGAAGAAAAAAGGTGAGAAAGATAGTCAAAGGCTGAATCACAAGCACTCCTCACAGAGAATTATAGGAAGTCTGAAGCCCAAAATATAGGAGATAAAGGGCTAAAGGTTGTGGGGTGGAGAATGACAATGTTCTAAATCTGATGGCTATTTCTATGAAAGTCCTATAAAATAGCATATAAATTTTTATGCTCACATACACTTTCCTCATTAGACACATAAAGGTTCACAACAAATATGGCAGCAATATTCAAGCATGCAAATGGTAATAACCAGAGATAATTCTCTATATTTATAATAAATAAGGAACACAAGAACTGCTTAGATGTCAGTGATGAAAACTGGAAGCAAAAATTACTATTCTTTTGAAATCTTCTGAATCTGTCCAGAGGAATACACTAAGACTATAAAGCAATTTAAAAAAACATCCATATGCGTGAACTAGACTTTTTTTACATCTCTGCCAAAATGCTGGATGCTAAGGCTAGGTAAAATAAAACTGATTTGGGGCTGGGGTTGTGGCTCAGTGATCCTCAGCACCACATAAACCTAAATAAAGATATTGGGAACACCTACAACTAACAGAAATTTTTTTAAAAAGGGGGGGTGTATGTGAAGGATCCATTTCTATTTATAAATAAATAAATAAACAAAGATGTTCACTATACCTTCAGCTTTTTTTTTCTTTACTATTTATCAAACTAGCCTTACAAATTGACTTTATGTTAAGTAAATGCCTAAATGCAAACTTAAAATATATTAACACATTGCTCTTAAGTGAAAAAATATACATGTATGTATATGTATACATATATATGTATAGATGTGTGCATGTATTTTTGGGGGGGTAAATAATCTATTTTTAAAAGTCTATACTACACAGTGTCAGACACTTGAGTGGGCATTCATAAAATATTCCAACTCAGAATGAGAGATAAAGGATACAATCCTACTTAACACAAGTATACTTCTCATGCCTAAAACTTGAATTTCTAACGCTTTAACGGAAAAAGTATGCTGTAAGTCTGAAAGTTAAGATGCTTTTCTTTCCCTTCTAATTCAAGCAGAGATGCTTTAACAAGATATTGGGTGAGAAATAATAACTACTAATATAAATTTCTTTGAAGCTTCTACTATTTATGTGTGTAATGAAGACTGAATTATTCAATTCACATGCGTTTGACTACTTAATGCATCATTTTAATACATCTGTGCATGTTTACCAGGCACCAATGCCTAAGTCAGTTTCGTTACTTTGATGTCTAAGAAAGTAATATATCAATCAGTTAGGAAGGGAAAGAGGGGTGGGAGAAACAGTTTGCTTCTCCAAACTATAATCTGTTAAATTAGATGTTCTCACATTCTTACACAGTTGACCAAGGGCAAAAAAAAATACAAACACCTCCCTGAGTTGTCAATTTTACTAAGCATCCAACAATTTTCTCTAAGTGATGTGTTCTATACAAAACCAAAATTTCCTGTTATAACTGAGGGAAAAAAATACAAATAAAAATTATCAGGCCTAACTGCCAGCAGAAATTAATAAACTACACTTCAGGGACCTTATAATTGCTTTCCTGATATTGAATTTAGTACTAATGAATACACAATAATGAACACTCTCCCAGTGTGAAGAACTAGGACAAGAATCATGTCCCTTCTTTACAATGTATTATTAGCTAGTCAAGGGCATGGTTTTGATCAAGTAGAAAAACAATAATAATATGCACTTATTACCTAAGCTTTTTTGTCTATAGCTTTTTTGAGTAAGTTTCTCCTGGGTGTGAAGAAATGGTTTGCTAGACTTGAAGAAGGGAAAAGATTCAATGGAAAATTGCCACTATATTATAGGTGAGGCTTAGCATAAGTACCCCACTTCCCTGCTTTCCAACATTACTGTGCAATGAATTCTGCTGGGAGATTTCATAATGAAGTAATTTCCTTTGAAACAAGCTAAAGATGACAATTATTAGTCACCATGCATCAATGTAGCTAACCAGTTTAGTCACCTTTGATACAATCTACGTAATCCTTAGCTTCCTTCCTGTTAAAGGATAGTGTAGTCTAGAATATCATTCCCTAAACTATTCTGAAGAACACAGAACTCAAAAGTCTAATAAAAAAAAGCATTCAAATGAGAGCATATACCATATCTCTTCAAAATGCCTATTAATATGCTTCAATCTTTGATTAAAGAAACTATTATGTTTCCTTAACCTAGAATTTTCCAAACTCATTTTATGAGAGAGCCCCTTATTATATATTGAGTGATATATATTTATTAATATGAACCTTGTGGAATTTATGTTCTACACAACATAACTTGGGGAAACACATCTACAGAAATGTTTAAACCATTTCAAAGTCATTTTTAATTTTTTTTAACTTATTAGGTAAACTTATTTGGGGCCAATAAGTGGAAATATCCCTGTTCTACAGAAAACTCTCCAGGAAGTACACTAACTAGAATGGGAACTTACATCTCACCTCTCCCTTTTCTGTTATCTAAGCTTACTCAACTCTGAAAATTTGAATATATAATCATAAGAAAGGGCACAATTAAGAATCTCTAGAATGATACTAGAGAGTCATTTTAATGAAAACATAGATTTACTGATATTCTTCAAGGAAACAAACATGATGCTGTGGACCAGTAGGGAATCAGAATATAGAGTTAATATCCCTAAAGTTTTCATCTATTTATGAAGGGTCAAAAGCAAATCTATTAGTATAACATAAGACATGCAAGGTAGAGCCCAGGGGAGTTGGGTACATCTTTCCCAAGTAGATAACAGATTATCAAATCATGGTGTTGAGTTTCTTAGAGTATTATCATGGTTTATATGATTTATATCAGGGTTACTTCTACCTTAAAGTTTTCTTCTCTATCCACAATTGTAGTGAGTTTCAAAAGGAGGAGATATATTTTAAAACAATCAAAAGGAGATCCAAAAATGTGATTATCAATTGACTGAAAGGAAAAAAAAAAACCTATTAACTGGCAATTAACATATTATCATCCAACTCAGTATAGATCTCAAAACAGATATAATAATATATGATAAAGCAGATAACTCAAGGAGTTATCTAGGAAAACAGAATACTGTCAATTCTATGGGTGTAAAAACATCAACATAACTAGGATAAGAAGAAAGAACTTTCTCAACTAAAAGCTACTCTCTCATCTCCCTTTCTGCTCATGTAAATATAAATTCATCTTTAAGATTTCAAAATAAAGAAGTTTTTTTAATAACTAAAATGTGTTGCTATTTGAGCTCGTTTCTAAATATTACTAACTTATATAAATATTCTTTCAGATTCTTTTGAAATTTCTAGTCACTTAAGAGTGTTATGAATAAGTACCAGGACTACCACTAGATTAATTTTTTATATATGTACATTGGTTACTAAGTTTATCCCTGAACAGTTCACATTATAAATGGTTTCAAACTCTTGAACCAGTGCCACAATGTTTCATGACATGTTTGGCCATGCTAATGTTTACTTAAGCCAAAAAAAAAAGCTGTTCCTAAAATAGTTGCACATTCACGTATATTTGGAGTAAAGTCCAAATCTCACACACACATAAGAGCTTTATTTAAGAATACATTTAAGAATAGCTAAGTCAAATCAACCAAAAATGCATTCCTTGGCTTTACTAAAAACTGGCAAATGCTTATGGTGTAACTGAAGAGAGATCTCAGTGGCAGTAATCTATTTTTATTAATCACAAACTCATAGTACTGCACATCCAAAGGCTGCAAGTCCCTTCAACAGGGCACCTAGAGAGAAATTTAACTACCATATTTAAGGCATAACATTAAAAAAGATTAAAAAAAAAAGAAAGAAGAAAGAAAAAGAAGAGAAAGAGAGAGAGAAGAGGAAGAGGGGGAAAAAAGGAAAGGAAAGTATCCATAAAGTATAAAGACAGAAAAAAAAAGTCCCAACTTTTCTACATCTGTCTCCTTGAATGGAAATGCTACTTTCTTTAAATCTGTGCTGAGTTAACAAATGCAATTAAATTATATCATAACAAAGTTGGAAATGCTAATTTACCCACACAAAGCCAGAAAACTCCATTACATCTCATGACCAATGCTGTTCAGAAATAAATCTCTGCCCTACACAGAAAGGGGCTTGGGTTTTTACATCTATTTATTTTGGGGAGTTATAAACTAGCTAAGAGAGTTAACCTCAAAAATCTCTAACAGATTTAGGCAAAAATCCAGAGAGGAATTTTCCATAGCCCTACTGCTGATTCAGTTATTAATTAAATAGACTCTACCAGGAAGCAATATATATATATGTGTGTGTGTGTGTGTGTGTGTGTGTGTGTGTGTGTGTGTATAAAAATAATATTTAGGACTGCTCATAAGTAGCAGGCAATACTTTCCCAAAAACTGGCCAGAAGAATTAGCACTACTGTTTTAATCTCCTCTGCCTTTGAGGCATCCTATTTCCAATGGATTAAAATAAAAAGCACTATTATATATCCTTCAATGACAAACTTCATTAATGTACATTTTGATCATTTAATATTGATAATGTACTAGTCAACTAAGACAAAAGGACATTCTGACAGTAGCCATCTTCTAAAGCATGAGGTGAAAGGTCAAAAAGTGAATGCAGTTTCTTAGGGGCTAATCTCTTCCAGCTACTAAATCTCAACAACTGTATTCCTCATTTAACTTTTCCACTCTACTGGGGAAGGGGGAACATTTCAGTAGGTCAAACTAGTGATGGAAGGAAAGCTAGTGGGAGGTCTATAAAGGCAAGTAAATGCTTGAAGACCCCATAAACCACACCATATTGGGACACACTAAAACCTGTTTAATTTTCCTCTACTTTTGCACATATATCTCTGTATGAGAAATCCAGATAGTCATAAGGGGCAGAATTATGAAGAATTACCTCGCAGGAAAGCAAAGAGGAAAGAACAATTATTAACTTCATATGTACCAGAGGCATGATATACATAATCTCACTGAAACCTCATAATAGCCCTTTAAGATGCAACTAAAAACTCTTACTCATTTTAGAACCTGAGGTTCTCCACAGTTAGATGCTGCAAGTCACCCAGCTAAAGTTAAGAATTAAAATTCACATCCAAGTCAGCCTAAATTCCAAAGTCCACAGACTTTCTGTTGTAACACAGTATACCCAAGTCAGAAGCAGTCAGTCAGGAAACCTTAATCATAGAAACAGTTCTCTGGCATCTTATTATAACCTGGGATTAGAAACTTCTTTAAGACTTAATTTCTTAATCTGAAAAATAGAGTAAAATCACTACATTTGTTTATTTTACATAATATTTCATGAGACCACTTAATTTGCTTACTATTTAAATTCTACATGCCTAAAATAAACTGTTTTAGTTTCTCTTTTTATCTTGTTTTTCTCTGAAAGGAGAGAGAAAAACTCACAGACACCAGTAGCATTTATTAGAAGTCAATTAGTTCCTCTGTTATTTTTTAAATAGAAGCTTTACTGTCTATAAAATATAATCACTCATTTCATTCCCCAGTTTCATTCTCAAAGCAGTCTTTACTATAGAGAAGAACACATGCTGTAGTAAAAAAGAGCCTCCTGTGTTGATAACAAGGACCCCAAATAAGCTCTCTTACTTTAGTTTTTATTATCACATAATCATAGTTTGTTTCTAGAACAACTAAATATATTCAAACCAAGTATATCATAGTAATCTAATCTTGAATAAGAGGGGGTAGAGGAACAAGAGTGGCTCAGTGAAAATAGCAGTACATATAGGCTAGTTTACTGAAGACCATGATCATATTTATTTAATAGGGTAAAATGTGCCAGTTTGCCCATAGTCCAAGGGTATGTTATTTATTAATAGCACCCCCTAAACCCTCAAAGTTATTTCTGGCTACATAACAAATCATACCTACTATTAAAAATGATAAATCAAGACAGTAGCCAAGAACAGCATAATAGATGTAAAAAAAGGGAGACACAGAATTGATTTAATTGAAGTGCATTGTTTGTATGTAGTGGTGCAAGTATATAACACCAGAGCAAATAACAGTTAACTAAAAGTTCAAGTCTTTTCACAAACCAAGCACTATTGCTCATTTCAGTCATTTGAAGACTTTTTTAAAATGCAACTAAAAACATACATAAAATCAAACAGATTAGTTATTTAAGTCAACAAATCAAAGGAAAGTAAAAACATCAAGAAAAGAAAAAGAGTGAAAATAACTGATAGTTCCTGGCCTCTTACAAAAACTAATAAACCCTGACTCTATTTCAGGCTCCAAAATCTGCTTTTTCTAAACCTGCATGAATAACCCAGGCAGAGAAACCTTTAGTGAGCTGAAGAGTATTCCCAATACTTTCTCTCTACCCAGAACTTCCGAATGCAGCCATAATTAGAAACAGGGTGTTTGTGGACATAAATTAGTTAAGCTGAGGTTATACCAGGTTGGTCCTCAATCCATAAGAAGAGAGGACAAGATGGGTGCAGTGGCACACACCTGTAAACCCAGAAGCTTGGAAGGCTGAGACAAGAGGATCACAAGTTCAAAGGCAGCCTTAGCAATAGCGAGGTTGCAAGCAACTCAGTGAGACCCTGTCTCTAAATGAAATACAAAATAGGGGATGTGGCTCAGTGCTCGAGTGCCCCTGAGTTCAATCACCGGTACCAAAAATAAAAGAAAAAAGAGAAAGAGAAGGCAGCATGCCATATGATAATGAAGGCAGAGGCTGATGAAATGATGCAGCTATAAGCCAAAAACAGGAGTCAACAGGAGCTGGGAATAGACAAGGAATGATCCTTCTCAAAAGGAAACATAACCCTGCCAACATCTTGATTTTAGATTTCTAACCAAAACTATGAAGGAATAAACTTCTGTTGTGTTAAGTCATTAATGTTGGGGTACTTTGTTTCAGTACTTCCAGGATATTAATTTACACCTTAGGACAAATTATCCATTAACATGTCTAAAAACTATATAAAATAAATAAATAAATAAGGTTAGAGCATAGCTGCTCAGTAGTAGGGCACCCCTGGATTCAATCCCCACTATTAAAAATAAGAATATAAAAACATTTGCTCCTGATCTGAGCACTCCTTCCTGCATGGGATGGAAGGGTATTAACAAAGTTATACCTCATCCTTCTTCTCCTGAATGCGCCGTCTCTCTGCCTCAATAGCCAGCTTCTCCTGAATTTCCTGAGCAATTTCACAGTCTTGTTGTTCACTAAAAAAAAAAAAAGGTGAAAATAATATGAATACAAAAAATAAGGACTACATTTTCCTACAAAATAATAAACACAATTTATTGAATACTATGAGCCACTTCATATTTTTACTTCATTTATCCTCATGATAATGACACAAAGAGGTTGACACTGTCACATTTTAAAGATGAAACGACTGAGGTCCAAAGAAATAACATCATTTCCTTAAGAACACACAAAAAAATGTGTGGCACATAGGGAATCTGATCCACAGACCCAACAATGGAAAGCTGCATGCTTCTTCTACACCACCATATTACATACCCTACTGGGGCCACTCTACAGGAAGATAGGCTTTTTTCCTCAAGATTCTGCAAATGCTATATAGACTAGGACATTAGTGTCTACAAATAATCAAACACAGATGTACAGAAAAAGTCTGACAGCAAGCTCACTAAAATGTCAATTATACTGTGGTTATAGAGAATTGATGGTATGGCTTTGAAATGATGTTTTTTAACTATTTAATTATCTGGATTTTTTTTCCCCAGTTTCAACAGCAAAGACTAAAAAAATTATGCTTACCCAAAAAAGAAAGAAAAGAAAAAATTTAGTGTATATATCTCAGCAAGGTCAACCAACTGGCCCAATGTCTTAATAGCTTAAGTGTCAGAGTTCACCATGATCCACATGTTGCTAGTCAAATGTTTCAATAACAAAAAAAATTGTCAAAAAAGCTATTGGAAAGTCACCGTAGGACTTGTAATCTAACAGTAGAAGGAATCAGAGGGGCAGGAGCAGTCTTCTCTGCCACCCAAGTTGCTGCACAGACAGTCCTGACCATTTTTTCCCACTCCCCAAATCCTCACAGATCTTTGTAGCGCTTTTGGAGCTGAGCCTGGGCTTTCAGATCTTCCTCTTGGAGCTGTTTAGCAATCTGGAGATCATGCTGGACCAAACGGTTCCGCTGAATGTTCGATGCCAAATGATGCTCAACTTGAGACAGAACAATTGGAGAAAGAAATTATAATGCTTTCACTTGTTAGTAATAAATATTCTACTAAATTTAAAAAGAGCTTTATCATTAGAAATAGCTTCACATCTACTAATTCATTTTGTTCTCAATAATATTGTGCAATACGCAGCAGAGGAATTGTTATTCCCAGCTTTTCCCTGAATGAAAAGAAGATCAAAAAGACTTAATTTGCCTTTGGTCACATGGCAAAGTGGCAGTGCCAGGATTTCTACACAAATACTCTAAGGCAGGGCTAATGCTCTTTCTATTACTACATGTTGATACTCTATTCTTAGCTGCATTTTAAAATTCTTTTTATATAGGTATAAGAATTAATAATTCACAAATCATGAGCCCACAAATACATACATAACTTTGACTTACTTTCCCATCAGAACACTACATAAATATTCAGAAAAATCTACACTATGATCTAATCTAGATGCCATTATTGCCTGGAAAAGATGTTCAGGCTAAGGGGCAAGAATTGATTCTTATGCCAACCTCTGACATAGCTCAGATGTGGTTACTACCACTGCTCCCTTTTACAAGGGAGGGAATTTCAAGTTCTTCCTATATGCTCAGTAATCTTCTAATCCTTGAAAGAAGACTCACTTCAAAACACTCAAAAATTTAATCTTTATCCAGGTGACATTTGCCAAGACAAATCCTTCAGAATGAATGTACAGGGTAGCCCAGTGACTGTGTTCTATCCCTACCACACCTTAACCAGCCTCAAGCTACTACATAAAATGGTAATCTGAAGGCACAGGAATGAGGGCTATTACTCACTCTCTTGTTCCTGCAAGCTGTGAGCCAGGGTGTGGTCCTCCAGGACAGCAAAATCCCGGCACACTGCGGAGCATGAGGGAGGAAGAGCAGACAGGAAGGCTCATTAATAGTACTTAAACATAAAAACAACTTTGTTTACTTAAAACAATTCTAAGGTTTTGAGATGACCAATTTTTTAACTTACAAAGCATAAAATAGTGTTAATAAAGTAGAAAGTCTTCATTCACAAAAATCCATATAGTGTCTGCTCAGTGCCAAGAACAAGGTGTCACAGAATACTTAGCCCTGGTCCCTTGTCTGAAGTGATAATATTAATCACAGCCATCAGAGCTCTAGGTCTAGACATTCTAATTTACCTCCATAGGGAAGGATAAATATTGCTGAAATAAGAGAAGATTCAATAATGCTTTATAAATTGCTACTGAGAAAAATCTGAGTTCTTGCACGGTCAAAAGAGTCACAAGAAAGCCTTTGCTTTAGTCATCTGCAGTTCAAGCGATTCTCTACTAGAAAAGTTATGTCTATTCCAATGTCTGTAAGGAAAAATACAATATTCATAGTCCTACATGTAGAAACAGATTTATACTTCAAGAATAATCACATTCTTTAATGGGAATTAGAGTTTGGTCTTGAGATCTCTCTACACATAAAACTGCCTTATATAATCTACAAACCCAAAGAAAACGAGAACCCTAGAGGAATAAGGAATGTATGCCTAAATTTGCCTCTATCTGAAGATACAGGCAAAAGCATCTGTTGGCCTGTTTTCTTAAAAAAATATGGAACGTGATGGTCTCTAAGGTCCAGTTTACACCTGCTTCTTTAAATAAACATACAAACAAAACATGAAGTCATGAAAAATTCTATTTCAAGGACATGAGGTTAGGTGGTAAGTTTTCATTCTATTCCAAACATCATGTAACACACATTTTTGTTTGTTTGTTTGTTTAAAAAGGAAAATTCCCTAAAGTCTCAAATTATTGCAATGGAGACTCAAGAACCCATCCCTGAGAGTCTCTCAGAAGTTTTAGGATCTCTTTCTGCATCTCTGGACTTGCTATTCAGAACACTTAGATGAAACAGAATGAATATTCCCCTGCCATCTAGGTACTGAAGTATGTTTACATGTACATCACAATAGTTCTGTTCCTCACTGAGAAATAATGCAACAAAGAGTAGGGAGAGCTTGGTGATGTGGCAATTAATTTGAAATTTTTATAGTGAAGGAATCATTCTTGCTCAAGAACCATACTAAACTGAATAGGGCCTGCTTACCACTTGCTCAAATGTAACTGCAAAACCAGTAATTCCAATAGAAAGCTCTATTTTTTCATCAGATATATTCTCAGAAAAATCTAGTACTTGAGGCCCTGGTCCAAATCATTCTACATTTCACAAAATGAACGTGCTTTCAAGATGAGATAGTGAACACCCTCATTTGATAGGTGAGGAATCCAAGGGCCAGAAGGAAGAAGAGTCTTATCAAGGTGACCCATATATAGTGCACTGTGACAGGGCAACGGACAATGTCTAAGCCAACCAAGATCCCTTTCCTTTCCTGACAGCTCTCCTTGATTCTAGGTAAATCATGGTCAGAACAGACTTTAGAGAAGAAATTCTATATTAACTAACATTCACTCTCTAAAACACTTAAATCAATATCCAATTTTTAAATTGGATATTGTTCTTATGATATAATAATAGTGTGGCATACATGATTTGGAAAACATTACTCTGTCAGGAATAGTGGGTAGACACCTGTAATCCTGGCTATTTGGGAGGCTGACACAGGATAAGTCAGACATGGATTTAATTTATAGACAATAAATATTTGAAATAGATTAACCCAAATGAAGATAACCAAATCATGTGTTAAAAAATGCTATTTTAACATATTATCTTATTTTGAAGCACCTTTATTATAATAGAAAAGCTAATACTTTTATAGTTCATCAATTTTCTCATGTTAATCTTAGAGTAACATTCCTTTTTTTCTTCTTTTCCTTCCCCTCTCCCCACTGTGTTGGGGATCAAATCCAGGGCCTCATGTATGCTCAGCAAGCACTCTCACACCAAGCTCCATCCCCAACCCTTTTCACTTATTAAGATAGGGCTTCACTAAATTGCCCAGGCTGGCCTTAAACTTGCAAATTCTTCTGTCTCAGCCTCCCAAATAGCCAGGATTACAGGTGTCTACCCACTCTTCCAGACAGAGTAATGTTTTCCAAATCATGTATGCCACACTATTATTAGATCATAAGAACAATTTACTAAGTCTGAGACAAGTACTTTAAAAATAAATAGGCTTGGGGCTGGGGTTGTGGCTCAGTGGCAGCCCTTGCCTAGCATACTTGAGGCACTCAGTTTGATCCCAGCACCACATAAAAATAGAAACAAATAAAATAAAGATATTATGTATTTCAAGAAAATAAATAAGTAGGCTAGAAAATGACAAAGTATACCACATACACAAGAGACTATGGTTTGGAGAAACTATATTTCAGTTTTATATACATGCTATCCACATAAATATATACAAATGTAAGTGATATGTACTAGGTCACAATGTAAAACATGTATCATTCTGCAGATTATAGACAAAAAAGTTTAGAAGCTACTTCATTTATGTTTTTAGGTAAGCAAGTTATGCCAAAAGTACAACTGATGTGTTTTTAATGTCACGCTAAAATAAAAATTATAAAACTTTTATAATATAAATACATAACTTACATGTATTTTAGTCCATTAAGCATACATATATTTATTTTATGGATAGCTACACCTATAGTAAAATAAATTAATATATAATAGTGGCACAAACTGAATTCAAAATAGTGGTTATTGCTAGAAAGAGAAGAAAGGAGGTACTAGTGCCTTAGCTATATATGCTGTTCCTCTGCTTTAAAAAATAAAGGAAACAGGAATTAATAAAAAAAAAATACTAACATCTACTTAATTTAATTTGGATGGTAGGTTCTTGGGGATTTTTGCTATTATAGTTGTGTTCTTTTTATTTTTTGAAATGCTAGGGATCAACTCAGGGCCTCGTGCATTGTAGCCTGAACTATACACCACCCCAGCCTCCACCCCTGCCAACACAGCTTAGGTTCCTGGGTTTTTGTATTTCCTGTGCTTTTTGTAATGTCTGATATACTACATTTTAAATTCCATAATTAAATTTTATTTTTTAAATCTACTTCTTTATTTCATGTACAGCATATATTGTAAACCACAAACATGAAGTCATGGTTTGGCACGTCATAACAGTTGAAGAGTAACTGATTACCTTACCATTACTCTTCTTAATGACTTTTTAATGTCCAAACAGGAGGACTGAAGTATATTCAGTTATTTTGATTTGACCCTAAATCTTGAGAACATATTTTGAAGCAGCTGATCTTGTACTCACAAGATATGAATAGGGCTTGTGTTAGAAAAGGATCTAGAAGATCTTCAATAACTGTTATGAACTGTTATGAATGTATCCCCATACATTCGAGAGAGCTGTATCATGAGAAACACTGACTTATATAGCACTTCAGAGTTCACTAGGAGTTTCCAATAATTTCTTTTACACCAAACTATTATTTGCCATTTTTGCAATCTACCATTTCCTCCCCTCTGCTTCAAGATCTTCCTTTGTACTCCTTGCATTACTACTCTAATACACGCTGGAAAACAGTCACACATCCAGTCAACTTTGTAAATCAGTAACCAGAACAACATTACAAAAAACTCATCACAACCAGGTCAGGTTTAGACCAGGATGGAACTTTGCTCCTTTTCTCACCTATAGCACTTGGATGTAAACAGTATAAATAGTTTATGAAGATAAACAGCATAAACTTACTTCACCACCTTTCCTTGCAAGTACATTTAAGATAAAGTACTGGAACTGGGGCTTTCTTGCTCCCATGTCTCAAACTTTTTCCCTCCTTCCCAGGTTCATTATTCTTACCCAGAACTCAGGCTGATCTTTCTACAAGCCAACCCCATCATTGTATTCCTCCAACATGCTGCTAAAATGAGTTTCCTCAACATAGTAAATCTCACAATATTCTCCTTTTTCCCACTAAGGCCTCAATGGTCCTGGAACCTCTTTCCTGTGTCCCAAACATTTTTCTAAAGTTAGGGTGTTATGCCTGAATCTCTTTTGAATACTAAAATCTATGCAACTCTGCATCCTTGCTAAGGAAAACACAACAGAAGGAAACATATTTTGTCCTTCAACGGGAGTTCACAGGTGCTTCCCCATCCAGTTGCAATTTCTTACAAGGTAGGAACTTTGTGGGGGTGATCTCTGCACCTCCTACACAATTAGTAATGGTACAGTATGACTTCAGGAAATGCTCATAAATTTTAAAAGAACAAAGAAGACCTGGTCAATAAAGTCAAAGAATGAGCTCCAGAGACACAAAAATTAAAAATGTTACAAACAAAATAAATCTCTGCCATTATGAGAGCATCACAAACTTGTAAATTTTGTCAAATATCATTTAAATAAAATAATTCATAATAAATTACATAAAACTAAAACTCTCCCATTTTCATTAAAAGTTTAGTGATTTTTTAAAATCCAATACATACGTGCAACTATACAGCAAATTTGTTTATGTTAAGCCAAGTAAATATCAAAAATGCAAAGGGGAGCTTGACTGCCACAAATACATTCATATGTACATCCCCTATCCATTTTTCTTGAAGAGAAAGATAATTCTCAATCATTTATAGATTCTCCCAAAATACATAAATAGTACAGTATGCACTTAATAACTACTCACTCAATAAACATGTGCTGAGCTCTTTTCAAGATGAATAACTCATTCCAAATCATCAGAGGTGGAGATGACAGAAAGGTAAAATAGTATAATATAATGTGACAGATGATACAATAAAGACCTGAATGAAGTAAATTATTTGAAGGCATAAACATTGGAACAGTTATACTACTTATGAATTGAGAGTGGGTATAAGGAGAGAGGATGACTGAGAGTCACTTGGGTACAGTGTATCAGGAAACCTTAATTAATGTGCAAAATGGATCTCAAAGGGAGGTTAAATTT